CCATTCTTCAGCTAAGAAAATCAGTTTGATGTAAAAGAGGGATTTGGCATAACAAAATGACCGAAACTATTAAAATATTATTACAATTACAAGTGCAGATATAAAAATCAAGTGTCAGTTGATTGGTTTAGCGAATTTTGATAAAGCACCTCGAAAATATCTTGCCGGTTCAGTAGCATTGGCATGCGAACCAGGTCTTTTTGAACCTGCTTGAATATTTCCGCGCCATCGTGACCGTTGCGAAGATTGAAAAACTGAGAATTAAGGTCTATGTACTGTTTGCGCTTCTTCTTAAGGGTAGTGACACGCCTTTCTTTGGATGCAGGCAAATAATCCTTAAAGAAGATATTTAAGTTCAAGAAAAATAAAGAAGCGATCGGCTACAGTGAGAACGTACACATAGGAGCTTCCATGTAACGGGGCGCAGGGCTTGAGGAATACCGGACCAAGACAGCTTACGCAGAGTGCCTGTACAACCCCAAAACCTGCCTTAGACAAATGATGATTATGCATCTGAACAAAAATAAGGCAAAACGAACCCAAATCAGTAAGTGGCAGGTTTATGAGTGCCTGAAATTGCTCGATGCGCCGCTCTACGGTCGGCTGAGCCAGTGACAAAGAAGATTCTGCATTAGTATCAAGGCGTACACCACGTCCAGGAGCCAATTTTCCTGCAACTCGGATTGATCCTTTAGGGTTTTGAGACTAAAAGTAGATAGCAAGCACGAATAAACATGGTTAATAAAAGGTATCAACTCCAAAACAAGAAACGTCAGTAAAGTAAAATAGAGCGCAAGAAAACGATGGAAACTTTAAGAGAAGAGTTCGCAAATATTTGTATGTTTATGTATATTTATATGTATGCATATTCATGTAGAGCATGAAAACTTTCTCAACAAATATTTACTGCTTGAGCTTCATTGGAATGCCTTCGTAAAACTTCTTTAGCTGTTTTGTCGGCGACTGGCACATACATAACTGATGTAATCACACATACCTGCCTTTGAAATTAGTGAAAAAAACTCTTCGTCATCTGCCTCCCAAGCATCTTCCACACTAGTTTGGAAGGCCGAAAACAGGTCTGCATTCTTACCGATCATCGAGAAAAACTCTGAATATTGAAGAATTAAGGTAGTAAAGGCAAGTGTTCAATCAATTTTTAGGAAAACTTTCCTCAAAATCAGGTGGGGTAATTCGTAAGTACTTGGGTCGCGGGAACCGAGGAGCTAGGCTAACTAATCTGCTTCTGTGGCACCCAATTACAAAAGAACATCAAAATAACCTTTCAGTTGCAAGTTATCCAGCTAACTTCACTAAATCGATATGTGATGCAGAGTCGCTTTGAATTCTAAGAATATGTGCACTTTCGTAGCTGTGGTTATCCAAAAAATAAAGCTTTTAAAGTCTTTTTAAGGAAGGCATTAGCTAAAGTTCAAATGAATAAAGGCTTTCAAGACTCCCAAAGCCCAGGTCGGCAATATTAGCGTGAAAACTAAAGAAGCGGTTATTATGCATGACGCGTGTTTATCGGCAAGCAGTGGAAATAGCTGAAAATGTCAGTACTTTAGACAACAAATGTAAACTCAAGGCTATGGCCTAACCCTAGGTCCAGCCCACGCGATAAAGCTTATATACACTGAAAAAAATAGCCGAAGTATTGCGCAAGAGTCTGTGCTACATTCCGTTTCGCTTGATGTGATCCATTTTAATTTCATTGTCATGTCTAGTACTGTACAGACACGATGATTAGCGGAATTTCTGGCTTCTGGTTTCCATTTTCGAGCTAAGTTGAAGACTCTAAGGGAGCCATTTGCACTACCTCGATCGTAATGAAGCTGGTGAATAGCTCGGCTGGCTCGCGGGTGCTTCCTTTCAACACCGGGTATGCTGTGATGGCTGACGTAAAATGTGTACCGAGGGAAGTTGTAGTGGACTTGGGCCTCTTCTTTAAGACATCCTCCCTGTAGAGCCTCTTAACTCAGTAATCGAATTGAGTTCCCTCTTCCTCCTTACAACGCACAATTTAATCCACCAATATATGTTAAAAAGCCTCTTCTCTTTAAAGCACCGTCCCCAGTCCTCCTGAATCATCGTCAAGGTGCTTCTTTTCTTTGTTAGCGCGTGCGCCTAATCTTCGCAACGTGCATTTGGCTCCCCTGCATAGGAGGGGATCTTGTTGTGGTGGACTATTTCTAAACGTAGGCGCAGTTCGTCAGGGGCAACACCTTAACTACGCAGTAGGGAGTCTTGCTTTAGGGATAAAAGAGCTTCCGATATGTGACCGGAGAAGAAAT